GGTCCAAATGACGCTAGCTATAATATATGTCATGGAATCCTCGGTTGTCGAATTGGGAGTGACAAAAGACAAAGAGTGAAAAACTAGGTGTACACCTTTTGGCCTAGTGGTTCAATCGCGCTGATAGCTGCTTTATCGTGTGAAATCCCACAAAGTCGATGCTCTAAGTCATCGGTTCGATTCCTGAGACCTACAATTAATACTGGTAGGGTGTCTCTTCCCACGGGGGTAAAAGGCGCACTCTCATTGGCTGAGGGACGAAGACAAACATGAATTCTGCAATGGGGCATGCAACATCCTGGCTACCCCAGGCTATATCATACTGGAAGGTGCTGTGCTGCATTAGAGCATGTTAACGGGTGCTTTGGGCCAGAAAAAACACAGGTTTTGAAGTGTCCTGAGGATATTTTTGTGCAAGATCACAAATATGGTAATGCCCCTATTCAGTGCATCTGATGCAGCTCAGTGCTTTGAGATAAATGTCTTGTGGTTGAAACACAGTAGAGTATGCAGATAAATGGAAATTTCTTTGATTAGCACATACTAAGGGTCTGGTGCTTGCTCAAAGAGCACTTAGAGATGCCGGGGGTACACTGTGTGCGCATTTTGAAGGGTGATAAGAGCTCAGAACTTCAAACCAGGTGCGACTGAGTATTTTCCACTATGTAGATGACAATTTCTTGCAGGGAAACAAATAAATGACAGGATAAATCACAAAAAATGTAGGGACAAGGGAGGCATAGATATTCAATAAAAAGGGTGGATAAAGAACATCGGAACACCATCCAGGGACTGGTACGGGATGACTAGCCACTGGAGCAGTATCGAAACTCGGAATTCCATGGGTAAAATTCTTCAGTTCTGGGGTGTATTGAATAATATGCGTCACAATGAATTGGTGCAGAAAAACCTCGTGCAAATCACGGGCCACTTACTTTTGGTAATAGAGAAAATTGGAGGGGACTGGGAACCGGGCAACCTTACCAGCCAGTGGACTGGTACTGAAGTTCGTAATTCTACAGGTAAATTTATTCAACTGCATCACAATGAAATAGTAAACCCGGTGCGAAGCACGGGTCACTTGCTAGTAAAGTATGAAGAGTCCGAGGAGAAGGAAAATGTACGCACTAGTACAAGAGGCGGTGTAGTAGAAAAATAAACTAAGGGCCGCAGACTGGAATAGGCAAAAGTAAAGAGGGGCGAGGGTATACTATAGTACGTATTGGACTTGGTTTTGAAA